GGGGGGGGGCAGAAGAGAGTGACCAGGCCTGTGGAAGATGCGTACAGGGAGAGGGCAGAAGAGAGGGGAGGAGTCTGTGACCGGCTTTTTAAGGATTTCCCTGCACAGGCGGATGTGGGCTTACGGAGCTATGCCATGCTCTGCACGGATGATGTGAGATACAAGACCCCTTGCTTGGCTACTGAACTGTACACATGTGGTCCTGCAGCTGGAGGAGTGGCAGAATCCTAACAGTATGACCCTGGAAACTCGTTCTCACCAGTAGGAGGAACCCAAGACAGGAGGACTTCACTGAGAGCGGCCACGGCAAACACAGGGCGGGCGGTGGCTCTGGGTATCTCAGATTGAGTGCACACAGGCTCTGCCGTCCAAAGCACACTTCGGACATATGCCACACCACAAATGCCAAGCAAGCCGGGGCAAATGATGTCCACATCCACCATGAGGAGCTTAGGGAACTCAGCAGGTGTCTTAGTTAGTGTTTTCTGTTGCTTCGAAGAGACGCCATGACCACGGCAACTCTTACGAAGAAAACGTTAATTGGGGTGGCTTGGTTACAGTTTCAGAGGTTCAGTCCATGATCATCACGTCAGGGAGCGTGGCGGCTGTGCAGGCAGACATGGCGCTGGAACAGAGTGCTACAATTGCAGGCAAGAGGAAGTCAACTACAGTCCTACTGAGGGGAGCTGGAGCAAAAGAGACCTCAACGCCCATCCCCACAATGGCACACTTCCTCCAACGAGGTCACACCCCCTAGAAATGCCACTCCACCTGGGGGCCATTTTCTTTCAGACAACCACAGCAGGTTCTGAATGGGAAAGAAATTCAGGGGCCTTTCTAAAGGCTGTAAGTCTAGAAGAGAACCCCTTTATGAAGACACTCATGGTCGGATGAGGAGGTTAAATAAATTGTTTTTATTAGCATCCATTACTAAGCAGCCCACCAAAAAAGCCTGTCTGTCTAGGTAGCATCCAAGAGATAGGGTATCCTGGGGAGGGTGTTGTCAGGGTTACATGTAATTCAGTACTTCAGTCTCTCCCCCTGGAATGGGCCAAGCAACAGAGATAACATGGAGGGAAGAGAGGAGTTGGCAATCAGATCCAAAAGGTGAAGCGTGGCTGAGGACATCACACTGAAAGCTAGACAGTATCATCCTCAGATACTCAGTGCACAGCAGAGCTGCCTCAGGGACCTCTGTGCCATTTATTTTAAGTGTGTACATGCTAAAAATCTGGACATCCATAGAGAGATGTGTAGGCTACTCTGGGGACCGAAAGAGCTATCCTCAGATCAAAACTGATGAAGTTCTTTGCTGTGGATATCGCTCTGAATAAATAAAATGCTGATTGGCCAGTAGCCAGGCAGGAAGTATAGGTGGGACAAGCAGAGAAGAGAATTCTGGGAAGTGGAAGGCTGAGGCAGAGAGATGCTGCCAGCTGCCGCCATGAGTACCAACATGTAAGATACTAGTAAGCCACGAGCCATGTGGCAAGGTATACATTTATAGAAATGGGTTAATTTAAGATGTAAGAACTAGATAGCTAGAAGCCTGGGCCATTAGGCCAAACAGTTTAAATAATGTAAGTCTTTGTGTGTTTACTTGGTTGGGTATGTGTGGCTGTGGGGCTGGCAGGTGAGAGAGATTTGTCCTGACTGTGAGCCAGGCAGGACCAGAAAAACTCTAGCTATAGTCCTTTGACTAATTAGTCTTTTTTGGGGGCCCACATCTTTATACTGACTCCATCTAGATTGAATCAAACCACTCATTTGGGCTAATGAGGGGCATAAAACTGAGAAATGGGACAGAATTTAAAAGACTTTGAAAAACAAAAATAACATTTAGAGAGACCTGGCCACACTGGCCTGGGACAGAATCTCTTTTGACACACTACCTTGACTTCTCCTGTGAGGGGGAAGTTCATTACTTTGTGAGACCTGTTTGCCATGCAAAGTTCATCCTAAACTGGGCTGTGGTGGCACATGCCTTCAATCCCAATACTCTGGAGGCAGAGACAATAGATCTCTGTGAATTTGAGGACAGCCTGGCCTACAAGTTCTAGGACAATTCCAGGGCTGTTACACAAAATAGCCTGTCTCAAAAAAAACAAAAAACCAAACAAAGTTCCTCCTAACCTGGGCTGAATCCTTCTCATTTACAATTTATGCCCCTCTAATTCTATTTTGTAGGATTTTGTATATATAAAGTGCTGTCAACCTGGGAATGGCGGCCAGCAACTGTGTACCCAGCAACCCCAAAGGCCAGCCAGAGCTACAGTGAGACAGACGTTGTCTCAAAACTGAGTGCTATCGGACTTACCCTAAACATTCTCTTTCCTAGTCTTCCCTAGTTTCTGTCAACCAGCTCTTCTTTTCTGTTTGTTTGTTGGCTGGTTGGTTGGTTTGTTTTTGAGACAGGGTTTCTTTTTGTGTAGCCCTGGCTATCCTGGAACTCACTTTGTAGACCAGGCTGGCCTTGAACACAGAGATCTGCCTGCCTCTACCTCCACTCCCAGCTCTCAGTCAGCTCTTAGAATGATAGAGCCTCAAAACCATTCTCTTGATTCTAACATCTCTGTGAAAAAGATTGGTGATAACACACTAGATCTGCTCAAATTCAACAGATCTCAGTTATGCACACCCCCTTCAAAGACCATCTGAAGAAGAGTGTGGTAGGGCAGTCCTGTATTCCTAGCACTTGAGATTCAGGCAGAAGGGTCAGGAGTTCAAGGACAGGCTGAGCCGAAGGAAATCTTGTCTCAAAAGAGAGGGGGAAGCCATGTGATTGTGTTATGTTTTGGCCTTTTGTAGCTGAAAAGTAAAATCACCATGTTCTTTTTCATAGGAGATCCTTTCAAGTTAGTCAATAGTAGACTTATAAATAAGTTTTGTTTGTTTGTTTGTTTTTGAAACAGGGTCTCCATATGTAACCTGGGCAGGCCTGCAGCTATGTAGACCAGGCTAGCTTTGTGCTTTCGGGGATCTTCCTATGCCTGACTCCAGAGTGCTAGCTTATAGTCATAAGCTGCCAAGCCCCCAAGTTCAATCCCTACAGCCCACAAGGTAGAACAGACTCCTGAAAATGGTCTCCTCTAATCTCCATGTGGACACACACACACACACACACACACACACACACACACACACACAAACACACACATAAACACACACAGTGTAGATAAGCTATAATGTAATTATATGTAACTTTTTAAGTAAATGAATCTTTCCTAGCACACAATTGATTTTCTCCTTTGAAATACATATCTCAAGTCAAGTACAGTGGCATACCCCTAGAATCCTAGTACTTGAAGAAACTGAGTCAGGAGGATCTCAAGCTAGGGCCAGCCTAAGCTACATAGCAAGAGGCTGTCCCCAAATAAGCAAAACCCAGAGCCCCTCCGGCGGGCCAGCTGAGTCTTTCTTTCAGTTCCCCACCGGCTGCCCTGCTCTCTCCAGGTGTGATTTCAGAATGTGTGCTCAGCATGCTAGAAGCTCAGGGGTCAAGGTCCAGCACTTCACATCAAATCACCTTTCTTTGACTTACATAAAAAAGAAACTTAACTCATGACCATCAACCACTATCTAAACTCACAGTACTAATGAAACAGATCCCGGCCAGTCCTCACATCCCTAGTGCAGAACCGACAGACTCTCAATTCCTCAACCCAGCATCTAGGAGCCTCCACATTCAGCCCCCCCTCCCCTCTACATCGACCTCTTCTCCAGTAACCCCCACCACACACAATCTGCTCCATTCCAAAAGCTTCAGCCTTCAGGGACTACAGGTGCCCATCCCAGGACACACGAATTCCTCAGGTACAAAATACTTTACCCCAGACAAAAATGAAACAAAATCCCTTTTCCCTATATGAGTCATGCTACACTCAACGTGTGAAGTATGACTCAAATCCTACAGCCAGCACGGTGGCACACGCCTTTAATCCCATCACTTGAAAGGCAGAGGCAGGCAGATCTCTGTGAGTTCGGGCCTCAGCCTGGTCTACAAAGCGAGTTCCAGGACAGCCAGGACTACAGAGAAACCCTGTCACAAAACAGAACAAAACAAAGCAAATGAATGCATGGTTCAAATCCTAAACCCCGAAGTTTGCCTAGAGCTTTTGGTCTGCAGTTGGCTCCTCCCTTGGAAAGACAGCCCCCTGCCTTCTGGAGCAGCAATAATGCTGCTCCCTCTGGTTTCTGGGGCAACAGCTCGTCTTTGCAACCATTCTCCAAGGACAATGCACCCCCTCTTCTACTTCCCAGAGCGCTCACACACAGCAGAAGCAACGGAGGCGCTTCACCCCACTCTCAGCCATTTTTCTCCATGCGCCTCACATCACTGCCGTGACTTTGAACTCACCTTTCTTGGCGCACTCTCGGACTCAGGAACCTGCTGGAATCATCGTCGTGGCTGCTCTGTTGGCTGCTCTGCTGGCTGCTGAGGAAAGACACAGGATGTGAACCGTTAAAACTTCTCCTGCTTTCTCAACCCTGGGGCTGTACAAAGACACGGGGTTACAAAATCAAGCGAAAGTAGCGACAGTGCTTCCAGAGTGAAGGTGGGGGTGTGAGCTGAGAAGACACTAACCGGCTGAAAGTCACTGTCTGACATCCGAGGCATCTCTGCGCTGTCCAGACTGGAGCAGGAAGAGCCTGATCTATTACTACCCAGGTCTCTAGGTACGTATGCCTCCGTAAACAAGCACTGACAGCTCCCAACTTGGTTGTTTAAGATCTCTGATGGGACAGCGATCCAATCTTCCTCAACCCACCCAAGCCCCCAAGGAGCTGGTGCAGATAGGAAAGGGTGGGGCTGGTAAGGTTTGAGGGAGGGAGACTGCCAGAAGGCAGAGACTTGAAGGGTTCTGCACCACCTACTAGGTCCCCTGTCCTGCCCCCAGGGAGGGCTAAGAGTAAGAGAAGAAAGGGGCAAAAATCATCGATCAGGGAAAACTACACAGAGAAACCCTGTCTCAAAAAACCAAAAAACAACAACAACAACAAAAAAATCCCTGATCGATCATCCTATTCTGTGGGCTGGAGGAATACAAAGCTCAATTCAAAAGCAGAGTTCTGAAGCTGGGTGTGGTGGCGCACACCTTTAATCCATGTGCTGAGGTCCACCTGGTCTACACTGCATACTCCAGGACAGCCAGGGCTACACAGAGAAGCCCTGTCCCAAAAAAAACCACAAGCAAGCAAACAAACAAAATAGTAGAATTCTATACATGTAAATATACTTAAAACTATTTTAATAGAATTTTGCTCCAGGGTTGCTGATCCATGTAATTTCATATTCTTGTCAAGTACCACGTGGGGGTACAAGCTGGAGAAGAAATTCCAAGTCACACAGATCCAGAGGCAAGCCTCAAGAGAGGTGCCTTAGTGTACTCCACAGAAAGCACTTGGCAGGAAAAGCTGGAGAGGAGTTCAGGATTTATGCCCTTTATAATAGTCAGCAGGCTCCACTAACCCAAAAGACCATGATGAGCATCACAGCCTCTCTGAGGAATAGGCTGGCTTTGATCTACTTTGGCCATAACAGCTGGTACTTCCTGCTCGCCCTACCCTTCTTCTGGCAACCAAAACTTAAAATTAAGCTAATTATAAGAGATTCTAGACCAAAATGATTATCAATATACCAGTTTCTGAAAAAGTAATTTTGACCTGTTATTAGCTGGCTATCCCACTAGATGGCACTGTTGTTTCCCAAATCACAACCGCACCAGCACCACAGTCATCAGAATGAGTCGACTTTGGGGCGCCCCCTTCTGGTCTTCCCATGGTTTGGAAAGTTCCGTTTACAGGAAATAAAAACAACTGGTGGCCTTCACAATGTGTATTTGTTCCAAGAAACTAATCAATACTCACTGAAGGCCAACAACATGGCTCAGTGGCTAAAGACGCTTGCCTCCAATCCCTGAGACCTGCAACCCGAGTGCTATCCCAGAGTTCATACTGCGGAAGGAAAGTTGTCTACAGCGTGTGCGCGCGCACAATTCTTGAACATCCCAGAGGGAGCCAGCAGACCCCTGTTTTTGTTCCCCACATGCCTACTGCTGCAGAAGTTTACCCTAGATGGTCCCATTACTACTCTCAACACCGGGAAGGGCTGGGGGAAAATCCATGGCAATTCAGAAAGCATGCTCCAGAAGGCAGGCCCTGGTTGGGAAGCTTTGCAATGCATGCTGGACAAATTCCCTTGACTCCACTGAACTACCATCCTCCTCCCGACCCCAAGGAACAGACCCATGCAGAAAGTGCAAGCTAACTTCACAAACCACAAGCAGGTACCCTTGTGCCCTCTGAAGGCGCAGTTCGACGACTGGGAAGATGGGACCCAGCATCTTTTGGCTATTTTTATTTAATTTAGCATCTTATTTTTGCAGGACTGGGGATAGAGCCCAGGGTTTTTCATGTGCTTAAAAAAAAAAAAGGGCTCTACCACCAAAACATCAGCTTGCTTTTGCTTTTATTTCGAGACAGTGTCTCACTAAGTTTCCCAGGTTGACCTTGAACTCACTATGGCTTGAACTTTCCTCCAGCTTCAGTTTCCCCAGTAGCTCAGATTCCAGGCGTGTACCACCACATCCTGCCCAGCCCCCTTTCTGAAAGGGCATTTCCTGAACACAATCAGCTCTTCCTCTCCCAGGCTATCAATGATGCACTGCTCTCTCAAGCCGGGAGAGAGGTTTGAGACTTAGGTGGACTCAAGCTGCCATGAGACTTGAAAGATGGAATTCACTCTTCCCCAAGCTTGATGGGAGCCACCCACACCAAGGCTGCAGAGACCCAAGCGCCCATTCCTCTGCTTTTGGCAATACTCTGCAGACTGCTGCATTAGCAACAATTATCTCATGCTAATTGGGACTTTCAAAACACAGCCAGTGACAGTTACAGCTGTCTTTGATTAATAAACAAGGAGAAATAAATTCTCTCAGGCTGTGGATGTGGTAGGAACAGATGAACTGGGTTTTCCCTGGCTTTACTTCTTATTGGCCTTATAACCCCGGGCCGGCTCACTTAATCCTCTCTTAGCCTAATTCCTCAAGAAATGGAGACTTACTGTGTTTAGTCACTAATCCTCAATTTATAGAGCTGGGGATTAAATTGCAAGGAATCCGATCATCATGCCCTAAATCACAGAGACTCAAGTTCTAGTCTTGACTCTGCCACTTAACCATGGGGGAGGGGGAGATTTACTACCCCCCCCCCAAAGGTCAGATGTACGTAAAAACATGTGGCCTAAAAGAGTGAAATGAGGTTTAGAAATGGTAGAGATCGTGGCAGGTGGTGAACAACCAATTGTTCCAAATAGCCACAGGTAGCTTGCCTGAGAGATACTTTGAAACTGCCAAGGAACCACAGGGTAGGAACGGAGGAGATTCTTAAGGCTTTGGTTGTTTGTTCTTGGTTTTGATGTGTTGGTGTCTTTGCAGTACCGGGTGTTAAACCTAGGGCCTCAAGCATGCTAGGCAAGCACTCTACTGTTGAGCTGTCATAGCCACACAAAGGAAATGCTTTTTTGTTTTGTTTTGTTTCGAGACAGGGTTTCTCTGTGTAGTTTTGGTGCCTGTCCTGGATCTCACTCTGTAGACCAGAATGGCCTCGAACTCACAGAGATCTGCCTGGCTCTGCCTCCTGAGTGCTGAGATTAAAGGCGTGCACCACCACCGCCTGGCTGAAATTCTTTTTTATTTTCTTTTGAGTAGAAGGGTATACACATGTCACAGCATATGTGTGGAAGTCGGAGAACATTTTATAGGAATCGGTTCTGTCCTTCTACCATGTGCGCCCCTGGGATTAAACTCGGGTCCTCAGCATTGGTGGGAGGCACCTTAACTTACCCATTGAGTCATCTTACTCAGCCCCAAGAAAAATGATGAATGAGAAAAATGTCATGAGCCACTGGCTTGAAAAATAGAGCCACATCATCAAAACTGAGAGAGAAAACCGAATTTCCATGCTGAATTATTTCCAAATATAAAATAAACTTAAATGGAGTGGTGGTGTCGGTGCACGTCCTTATTCCCAGCACTCGGGAGGCAGAGGCAGGCGGATCTCTGTGAGTTCGAGGCCAGCCTGGTCTACAGAGCAAGATCCAGGACAGCCAGGACTACACAGAGAAACCCTGTCTCGAAAAACCCAAAGGTAAAATAAAATAAGATAAATCGACTCTAGTGTTTACACTTTCGGTTTGAGTAGGAAAGGCACATTCAGAAGGAGAAAGGAGGTAGCAGAGAAGCAGAGAATAAAGAAAGGTGGTTTCTGTTTGTCACCTGGCAAGCTTGTCTGGGAAAGTCTAATAATAGAAGTAAGTACACAGATGTGATTGGGACACTGTGAAGGACTGCCAGCTTCCTACACGACACACCTGATAGTCTCAGAGAGGACTTAGAAAATCCCGGGCTGGGAGCGAACTGCCAGTCTGCCTACAGGGCTCGGAGGAGGCTCACTTCTGCTTCACAGCTAGCTCCCGTGGGAGTCTGCCGCAAGAGCGGTAGCTGGAGAAAGACTTTGGGGTTCAGAATGCAGCTCAATATTTTCCTCACTCATCCAAACCCACAAGCGCTTTGCTGTTGAAGACTTCTTTCACCTCTAAACAAGCCTGTGTCTGTGCTTCCTTTGGTTCTGGTTTGCCTTGTTGTTTGAGACCTGGCGTTGTTCTGTAGACTACGCTGTCTGGAATTTTTGTTTGTTTGTTTGTTTGTTTGTTTGTTTGTTTGTTTTTCAAGACAGGGTGTCTCTGTGTAGTTTTGGTGCCTTTCCTGGATCTCACGCTGTAGACCAGGCTGGCCTTGAACTCACAGACATCTGCCTGGCTCTGCCTCCCAAGTGTTGGGATTAAAGGCGTGTGCTGCAGCTGCCTGGTGGCTGACTGGGATTAAACTATGTAGCCCAGGCTAGCCTCCAAGTTGCAAGTATCCTCTAGTCTCTACCTCCCCAGTGCTGGGGTTCCAGGTGGAGGCCATCACACAGCTGTGTTTTGTTTTGTCCAAACAGAATCTCACTGTGTAGCCCAGGCTGGCCTCAAACCCCTGCTCCTTCAGTCTCAACCTCCTGAGTATCTTGAGAGTATAGACACTGCTGTGCTCAGCTTCCATGTTTGAGTTTTAAAAGGTTGGAGGGAAGGTCTCCCTCCACTCTTTTGTTTTTCCTTTTCTTTCTTCCTTCCTTCCTTCCTTCCTTCCTTCCTTCCTTCCTTCCTTCCTTCCTTCTTTCTTTCTTCTTCTTTTTTTTTTTTTTTTTTCCCGAGACAGGGTTTTTCTGTGTAATTCTGGTGCCTATCCTGGATCTCACTCTGTAGACCAAGCTGGCCTCCAACTCACAGAGATCCACTTGGCTCTGCCTCCCGAGTGCTGGGATTAAAGTCCTGTGACACCACCGCCCAGCCCTGTTTTTCCTTTTCTTTATGGCCACCGGTAACACACTGCCCAG